AAAGAGCAGAAATGTTCAAAACATGAAAAACTCGAAACATGAAATTCTATGAATTATTTTTCCATCAAAATCTTCCTTTGACACCTTCTTCTTCTCTTTTTGACTATTTAAGCTGATGTGACAAGTAAAATGTTCCACTGTTGGATCAATAAAGTCAATCAATCAATCACAATATAAATATATCTTAACATAATTCACTAATATAAGGAAAACTGTTTGAACCAGATGGAACTGGTGGAGAAGCAGGTTGTGTTATGATTAGAGCCACTCTGCTCCCCTGGCGCCCCATGATGGCAGCCCACTGCTCCCCAAGGGGACGGGTTCAATCTAGAGGTAAAATTCTCCAATGTGAGATCAATCAAGTTCAATAATTATTAATTATTCTGATGGTAGATGTGTAGAGAGGAAATCCTATCTCCATCACTCCGTCCTTTCAGTATCTCTTGTTACCAGAATCTGAGGCGGCGGCGGTTAGAGGCGGCGGCCTACCTGGAAGCGGTCGGAGGTGAAGAGCCTCCTCAGTGAGTCCCTGAAGGTGGGAGCTGCTGGGAACTGGCCTGTAGCCGGACCCAGCTCCTCGCTGTCAGCATGCAGCTCCTCATCCACCCACTGGTCCACCTGTGGGTCGCCCACAGCTGTGAAATGCCTCAGGTACTGAGACATGGCAGAGGACGTCCCACCTGGAGGACAAAATGAATCAGCCGGCGTTTACTTCATCATTTCTGCATCATTATTTCAGGAGAGGAGATGCTGAGCAGCTTACAGCAGATAAAGCAGCGGAGTTCAGAGGAGCTAAAGTCAGGGAGAGGAAGCTGCTCCCTGCGGCCCGTGAGGGATGTTTCTTCACGCCTTAGACAATCAGAGTTCACTTCTCCTTTTCTAGGATTACAACATCTGATGAAGTAACTTCACTTTTTCTCTGTTGTTGGAAGGAAGCAGAAGATGCAGTGAGGATGTTTTCCTGCTCCTTTAACGGAGCTGGACTTCTGCTCCTCCAGCCTGCATCACAACAGAGAAGGTCCCAGAGCGCCGAGCAGGAGAACCAGAACCGGCCCAGCAGAAGGCGGGAGGAGATGCATCCAGAGCTGAAGGCAGAGGAGAACCAGAAAGCAGAAAAACCTCTCAGGTGAAACAAAGAGGGAGAAAAAAAGCCCAGGACCCAGCAGGGTCCCACAGAGCAGAAGCAGGTAGGGGAGGGGAGACCACAGCATGCAGCTGGAAGCTGCTGCAGGCGTGAACTGGACCGAACCATCGGCATCAGCAGACCGTTTTCACAGAGACACATTCCTCGCTGTGGATCTGCGGTGCCTGGGCCACTGATTCTTTAATTCATTTATGCCTTTAAAAAATAACAATTTAAGTCTAACTCTCTGCCATATGGCGAAATCTACATGCATGCTTGCATTTTTTTTCTTAAAATAGGCCTATAGAATACCACTTTAGTTAGAATTTAAGTCTGACGTATGCGGATGGAGTAATCCACTTCCAGTAACGGCCACTCTGAGCATGCAGCAGCTTCAGAGTTGCCTGTAACACAGAACCAGGACTTTGTCATATTTTATCATTAAGAAACACTGCTGGGAGGAGAGAGAATAGTAGCTTCATCTGGTCTGTTCCTGTTTGGCTGTGACTCCATCCTGGAGAGAAATATCAGCTGTGCTGCTTCCATCAACACCTTTGTTTCTAGATGTTGGAGCTTGGCCTGTTTTCCAGTGTAGTCCTGTTTCTCTGACTGTGACTAAGTGGATGTGCTCTCTTCATCCTCTGACATGGGAGCTGGCTCGGAGCTCGTCTGCCTGGCTGTGTGTTTCCTGGACGGGGCCGCCTGTGGAGCTGGTTGCCTTTTGTATCTATGCTTCTTTTTCTATGTCTGCTTCTGTCTCCTTGAACCCCAGTGGGCCTCAGCAGATGGCCGCTCACACTGAGCCTGGTTCTGCTGGAGGTTTCTTCCTGTTCAAAGGGAGTTTTTCCTCTCCACTGTCGCTACAAGCACACTTAATGTGAGGGATTGCTGAAGAGTCAGTTAGTCGATGCAATCAACTGGTTGTCTTTAAATAGAAAACTTTGAATCAATCTGACGGATAATCTGGTTGAACTGTAAAGTGCCTTGAGATGACATGATGTGAATTGGAACTATAGAAATAAACCGCATTGAAATTTAAATGAATCACAGCATCATAGGATCACAGGATCACTCAGGATGGGCCCAAATAGAAATGATAAACACAGACATGTTTGTAGAGGTGTTTTTTTTACAGTGGCACATTTCAAGTTCCTGTTTGCTGACATATTTAATAAAGATAAATTGTGAATTCATCAGCAGTGGATTAGAGATAAGTGGACCAATTCAATCCAGTTTGGTTCAGGTAGAGATTTAATGATGCAGGAAATAACAATCTGTTTGTACTATTTATTTATAATGCTTTATAATAATAATAATAAATAAGTGCTATAAAATATTTTCTTGCGGGTTGTCATTAATCATCTGAGCCCATGCTTTTTAAAATAAATTGCCCAAATTGTTTTTGTGCGCGCTCTCATTTCTTTCGGTGCTCTATTGCGCCCCTGTATAGTACTGGGTCAGCTGACGGCCCTGGACCGAACCAGGATCTTTTGCCTCCAGAACCTCTCTGCTCTTCGAACAAAATAAAAACCTCTGAACTCAGATTAGATGAAGTTTCCTTTAGGGAAACTTCCTCAGATCCAAAGTTCCGTTAATCTGGAGCCCAATCCGCGGCTGGACGTCTCCGCCCGGTGCGGTTCGGTTCGGTTCGGGTTCCAGCAGCACCGGGGAACTGGACCAACTTTCCTACCTGCTGGTTCTGCAGGAGCGAACTTTTCCTGAATCCTCGGAGTGACGGTGGGCCGCTGGAAGGACGGAGCGAAAACATCCGGCGGCCTCAGATTCTGCAGAAGCAGCAGAACACAGACAAACAGATCTGCCCCCAGGCATGGAGGCGGATCTAGGAAAGATTTCTGGGCCGGACCAAAGCACCAGCCTACTGCTTAGGGGCCCCTAGTCACCTTGGGGCCCCTAACCGAGCACAACCCCCTGTCTCTATATAGCTGACAGGACACATTAAATCACTGTCTGATATAATCATGTCTCTTTTTTTTTACACCATCATGCAGAAATAGTTCATATAGATGAATGAATGAAGGACCTCTGCAAACCTCTCAGCCTGATAATTATAATAATCTATTTGTTTTAAGTCTAAGATGTCAAACAGCCTTAACATTAAATGATATGAAAACATGAAAAACAGGCGACGTTAAAACAAGCAGCTTCCTTGATAAAGCAGAAGGAACCAAAGGTCTTTGCTATAAAGAAAAGTTGTTAAACTTTCTGCTGGTGACGTTTCCCGGTCATCCAGGTCAGATTCATTAGAGAAAAGTTTATAAAAACAATCCACTGGACTTTGTTTTCAAGTTTGAAGGCATTTCTCTTCCCATCCAGGAAGCTTTTTCACAATGTCAGAAATAGCGTTGGGTTCCAGGCTTTATACAGGAGCCCAGACATCTCCAAACTGGGTCCTGGAGGGCCGCTGTCCTGCAGGTTGTAGAGGTTTCCCAGCTTCAGCACAGCTGATTTTCACTGATAGCTGATTAACAGGCTTTAGCTGAACTGCAATCATCAGACTGAGCTGTGCTAAAGCAGGGAAACCTCTAAAACCTGCAGGACAGCGGCCCCTCACTTAGGGGATGCCTGCAGCAGCCCATCAAAGCCTTGTTTTTGGTTAGAAAACATGCTAATTGAAACAGACGAACGGGTCCACCCCTTTGGAACCTGTTTAAAGTTGTTTTTTCTTTCTTAACAGAAAGAAGGAAGCCATCTATGAGAGAACAAAACAACCTTAAACGGGGGGTGGGGGTCAGATTTCAGCTTTCAAAAACCTCCAATGCAGCGATAGAGTTGATTCTTTCCCGCTATCATTGCAGCCCCAACTCCTTTACAGGAGAACAGAAGACTTCGCCTATTCAGCCAGGCCAACTATTCCCTCTAACGACCCCCTTTCAGAGACATAGACAGGTATGGGGCATTGCAGGCTAACAAAAAGAAGCCAAATGACCCCCATTCCAAAGGGGTGGACCCATTCATCAGTTTCTATTTGCATGTTTTCTAAACAAAAACCAGGCTTTGTTGGGCTGCTGGATAAAACCTGGAACTCAACGCTAATTCTGACATTTGGAATAGAAAAAGCTTCCTGAATGGGAAGAGAAACATCCAGTGGATTGTTTTTAACTTTTTTGGGTGTTGTTAAAGCTGTTAAACCTTCTTTAATCAGTCTGCAGACTGAGAGGAGAGAGAGCTGTTGGATTCAGACATCCTGAATCACAGAGGCCATCCTCCAGATCTTTGGCTCACTTTGAAGACGGCCTGCTGTCCTCCTGGCTCTGATGCATCTGCAGAGCATCTTCCAAGCTCACCAAGAACTCCATGGCAGAAGAGCAGGGATTAGTAAAAACAGCCAACCTGCAGCACCCCTGGGATGTTTCTGCATGTTTGAATTTAAAATAAAAAGATTTATCATCAAAACAGTCGCAAACATTTGTGAAGTTTGCTGCATATTTTCTAAAAAGCCCCCGAAGAATCAGCCTGTTTGCATTAAGCCTCACGATCACATTAGATTCAATCATGTTATTGGAAAAACAATCAGATTCGTTTTTATTGCATTTCATATAAAAGCTCAGGGTCTCTCTGCATGGAGTTTGCATGCTTGGGAACTCCGGCTTCCTTCCACAGTCCAAAAACATGACTGTTAGGTCAATTGGCTCCTCTTAGGTGTGTGTGAATGGTTGTTTGTCCTGTTTGTCTGTTGCCCTGCGAGGGACTGGAGACCTGTCCAGCCTCCCGCCAGCAGACAGCTGGAAACAGGCACCAGCACCCCTCGCGACCCCACTTGGTATAAGTGTGTAAGAAAATGGATGGATGGTGAATGAGGCATCATGAAGCCAAGCTGTATTGATTGTCTCACAGAATACTGACCCCTGCTGGACATTTAGAGACAGGACAGGATGTAACTGATCAGGGCTGTGGTCTGTCCAGGCTGCTGAACTCCAGCTGGTTTTATTCACCTCATGGATTTGCATTGTGAATTGGTCTGAAAACATTACAATTTCTCTAAATTAGTGAAAAGCTAATTTGATCACATTCTTCCAGATAAACTTTGGTTTTTAAACTCAAGATCCATCTTAAACTGTAATATGGTTTTCAACCATGTTTCCCCTCTTTGTAGTTTAGTTTTACTAGTTTTGGTCAAAAGCTTTAAACTGAAAATACGTTTGATTTGGAGCTGAATGATTTTTGTTAATAAACTCTAATATTTTGAACAGAAGTTGTGGTGAATTTATTTCATGTCTGTGCAGAATTAACTGACCATGATTAGACCTCGAATCACTCTTGAATTTATTGTTCTAACACAGTTAGAACTGTGTGTCATAAACAATAACAGCTGAAATAATATCTGAATAAATAAGATATTTAACCACCCCTACAGGGGAGGGCAATAAACTTAAGGTCTCAGAAATATAAATTCCCAGCTGGTTGGGAATAGAATATAAAATCAGTTTCATATAATTAAAGAATCCAGTGAAGTGCAGCGGTGCATTATGTCATAGAGGAGGAAACACTGAAGCCTTTCAGCAGAGGAAGCATGATGTGCCCAGTTAAGCAGAGGGTGTTCTAGTTCACACTTCAGCCACAGTTAAAGCATCAGATGCTTTTAGTTCCAACCTCATCCAGTAAAGAGACAAGCAGCAACAGGAGTTCATAAAGCAAAATCAGCCTTTATTTACTCAGGAAATTCATCCAACAGCAGATTATATTTCTGGAAGGGCAGGATGTTCATCAGGAAACCCTTCAGAGCCAGAGGTCCGGCTCTACGTCAGACGCTGCAGGGATCTTCATCAGGTGGGCCTGCTGGCAGAGCAAACACACCGTTAATCCCTCCCTTCCAATGGATTCAGAGGCTCTTTCTATCCAGATGTTTCAGGTCTTCAGTCAGGTTCTGGTAAACTGGTTTTACTGAACCTGTGCCAAGTCCTGAGTTTCTCTCCCAACGTCACGATTCCACAGCAGAGATGAGACGCCTCTGCCATGGCAGTACAGGATTGGGCTCCTTTTTTATTTAAACATCCACTACCTGTCAGTCTGAGCGCCACCTGAACCGCCGCCCCTCCTCTTGCCAGCTGCCTGGCCGCCGCCCCTCCTCCTGCCAGCCGCCCCTCCTCCTCCTGGCCGGCGCCGCTCCTCCTGCCTGCAGCAGAAAGAGGCCATCAGTGATCTACTCGCCAGCCTGAGGTCATGACCTGCTGCCAGGCCGTCCTGCTCAGGGTCGTCTCTCACCACGGCTTTAGTCAGCATAATGTGTTTTATTCAGGCATCACAGCAGACGGCCCTGATTAAGGTCACCCACAACATTATTCAGACTCACCTTCTGGAAGACAGCGGCAGGAAGCTGGAGAACAGGAAGCATCAGAGGCTCCGCCTACAACACAGAAGCCTTCATTACAACTTTGACCAACAACCTGTTCATCTCTGCTATAGCAGCACTGATCTAATTTCACAGGATGACAGTAGTGATGCGACCAGCAGCGCCGATACACCGCATGCAGCGGTGCACCGGCCAGACCCTGCGTTGGTACTCGTAACGCTTAAAGGTCACATGACCAGTACAGCCTTTACGAACTGACTGACAAAATGTTTATAAGCTCATCCGTTAAAAAATCTGATCTTTTGTGGTTTAATCACCAAATTAAAGGAATATGGAGGCTGAGGCAAAAGGTTTATCTGAAAGAAACAGGGTGAAACGACAAGAATGAAAATAAATCAAATCCACAAACATCCTTATTTATATGGCACTTAAATTTTCCTTTTAAATTTTCACATTTATGTATTAAAACGAAAAACAAACATTTTCAATTGAAAGATATAAACTATCAATTCTAAAAAACAAACAATGGATTAAATCATATTACAGGTCATCAATCAGGTCAGAGGCTGTCTGTAGTGACTTTAAGTGTCCAGCAGGGGGCAGTAATCAGTGGAAACTCATCACTGCCTGTATGAAAACATTAGGAAGCAGTTCTATAAAGTAGCTCTGCAGCCACTTTACTGATTAATTGATTTATCTTCAGATCGTTGCAGTAAATTAACATTTCTAAATGTTTAGCTCAGAACAGCCATTTATTGACTAATGAGTTTATTATTCCAATAATCCTGATCAATCAGCCCAGATCATCACCCTGCTGCCGCCGCCTCCATCAGCGCTCTGTGGTTGGCTGTACGGTCCTCTACTAGGCCCGCCCTGCAGACGGACCGGGGCGGGCCACTCTCTTTGGACCGAGCTCTGCAGAATCTCAGCAGCAGCTTCCTCTAAAACAGAGGCGGCGCCGCTGAGAGCGCATGCAGAGGCTTCCTCTGCCAGCTCTGTAACACCGAGCCAGCCATCAGGGCTGGTCAGCTGACTTAGAGCTGGGGGGGGGTTATGGGGTTTTAATCTGAAACCTACCTCAGGTCCTGTAGGTCAGGGCTCTTCTGGTTCCATTCTGAGGATCAAGTCAGTACAGCTCCTGCTCTGATGAGCGCGGCGAGGAAGAGGAGGAGCATCTGGCCTTCAGAGCAACAGGCTCGCCTGGAGGAGAGAAGACAGCCAGGTTAAAGAGGGAGGCGGAAGGCGGACCCCGTCAGAGCTGCAGCTCCTCCTCACACCTTCAGCAATGAGGCTTATCCTTCAAACAGAGCATCGTCTCCTCCAGCAACTAACGGCTAATTAATTTACTGAAACTTCAACTGGCTGTTTCCATTTAAAACCAATGAAAATAGTTTACTGGTAAAAATGTAACCTTTTACATCTGGACCAGGCTCTCTGCTGCCCCCTCTCTGCAGGAAGCAGGAACTGCTCTGCCTGATACCTCCTGGTGGGAAAACTGCCCACATTTATCCTCAATAATCCCAAATTATAGCTACAGACATGCTAGACTGTCCAGCCCCTGACAGGTTAAATGGATTAATGGGGTTTTAAGGGTCCAGTAGGGCAGATTGCCAACATCCTGGATAATCCATCAGGACAAATTAATGGGGCTCCACACGTAGCTATAAAACTGCTTCACATTTAAAACTAGTAAGGAGTCAGATTTCTGCTCCAAGAACAAATTTCACAATTTAAATTAACTTCCTGAAAATAAATCAAACTAATAATCCCAATCAGGTCATAGAAGCTATAAACCATCAATGGTTCAGGTTGAAGCTGTTCTTTGTTTAAAGTCAATCTGCTCTCATTAATAAATAAAAAAAAAGTGTTAAATTAAGCCAGATTAACAGAAAAACATTTTAATCTCAATCTAATTTATAAGACTTCTTCGGTGGGAGATGATCTGGAACACAGCAGAACGGGTCAATTTCTAGACAGAACCATCCAGACGTGGAAAAGTTCTGCTGATGGTTTTGAAACTGCAGAATAAAGTTTAACCAGTTTGGACTGTAATCTGACCCACATTAAAGATCAACCTTTAGACTTCGGTTGAATATGAGGCCAATACCGGAAGCTAATTCCAGCCTCGTGCTTCCAGGTGGGCTCTAATGGACCAGAGACTGACTGAACCATCGGTTTAATGTTAGCATGGATCCATGGAGGCGCGCCATGGCCCGGGTTAGAATAAAAGCCTCTTTCTGCTGGAGATTTTAACATTATTATGCAGAAAACAAAGCGCGCAAACAACCGCTCCTTCAAAGTCTCGCGAGAGTTTTTTAACAGTTAAATTATTTTATACAGCTGGATATTACAGTTTATACCTGCACCGCGTGGTGTGGCCCATGGCTGCTGTACCGGTCCGCCCAGCAGAGAGAGACAGACCGGATGCTCTACCAACCATTATAAACGCTCTACCGCTGAGGATTGTGGGAAAAAATGTAGCCGTTGCAAAGATCGTCTAATAAAAAGATGCTCTTCTCACCTACTTTTTACTTTTACCCGGAAAGCACTAAAATGAAGTGAAATTTCCATTTCATTTAGTTTAGTTAAAACTTGATGCTGTTACAACGAAAACTTTTATTTTCTTTAAAAAATTGTATTAATCTAAAAGTAAAAAAAGAATATTACCTTGAAAATGTGACTTAAATATATTTATATTTCGTTATATACACACTAAAAGATAAAAAATGAAAATTCATAATTCAAGAATAATACATATTTATACATATTTTCAATGAAAATTATTGTTTTTTTATCAAATCAGATGCTCACTGTTATCCAGAGAACCTTTCAGTCACTATGTCTGCTCCAGCACATATCATCATTAGATTATCATTATTAGATTATCATTATTGGTAGTGGACCTCATCAGAGATGACAACGACCTGGACTACAGAGAGGAGGTGGAGCAGCTGGTGGAGCAGAGATAACAGCCTGATCCTGAA